AAATCAAATAATTTTTTAAAAACTTTTTCATATAAAAATATTTCTCAACATATGTTTCTTTTAAAAGGTGAGAGTGATGGACTGGTTTGAAGGTATTTTTGTAAACAAACAATTTTTTTAGAAATTGTGCAATGCTTTAATACATCAAACCAAACAATGGATAAAAAATATGTCAGCATAACTAATATTAGCATAACTAATGCAAACATAACTAATATCAGCATTACCATACACCATATTCAATATTATTCTTATGCGCCCTACCAAACGATCCCTTAGTGGTTATAGATCTAACATCGTGTCCGACAACGGGTGATCACAGATACTAACACTAACGGTCGTTACGTATCAGCTCCTTGTTAGTGATTTTTCCAGTTTCTTCCAGCATTTGACATGGATCACCGCCAGCTCTTCGAATTAAGATCTAACAGCTAACTTTATTGGTACTCTCAAAGTTGCGAGCCACTAAAGCCAGCACTATTTTTTCACTTTATATATTCCCAACATCTCCTGAGTCTAAGCTAGGGCAGCTCAACGAAAGTGGTGATCTAAAATCAAACCTTAATGAGAGGCTTTTTGTTTTTTGTCACAATTGTATACGATTTTTTTTTCCGTACGTATCTTGATCATTTACTTGGTTACCTGCTAGTACCATTGAAGATACATGGTAACTCAACTCACGGCTTACATAATATATAAGAAATATATATTAATACTTAAGATAGTTTTTTTTATATATAAATTCTCATAATCTAATAATCTCAATTTTGTATGACTAAGTAGATGCCAAAATATTTTCATACATTTAGAAAATTCAAGTCTGCTTTGAAGTTGAAAAATAGCTTCATCCACTCTTTATAAGAAATAATAACTCCAAAAGATATTATAAGAGACTTTATTTTTGTAATTATCAAAGTCGTCATTAAGTTATTCATTTTCACGTATTGCATATTTATTATAAAATTATGTTATTTATTTTAATAACCTCTATCACATCATTCTAAAAATGAAGTATGAGATCTAATCTCTTTATTGATAAATTTATAATATGCAAACAATATATAAAATAAATATTTTGGGGCCTTCAACTTTGGGGGCCCTAAAGCAATTGCTTTTAGTAGCCTCCCCATTGAGCCAGCATTGGTTTAAGCTCCCATTTGGCCATGCGTTATTTTTCAAAAAAAAATTTAAAACATTGTTAGTTTATGAAATACAATTATATTTTTGAAAAAAAAAGTTCAAAAATTTTCAAGTTCTCAGTTTTTGGGTGAAAATTTTTCTTCCACTCATAAAACTTCAACTTTTCTTCAAATAAAATGTATGTCCAAACACAACTTTAAAAATTCTTTTTTAAAAATTCTTTTTTTGAAGTTTCAATCAAATCTATGTCCAAACGCTAGATAAAACTTCAAGAGAATATTTTGAGAAATCACTTTCTTTTCAAAAGACTATTGTCATGGAAGAGCACATTTTAATCTCGAACCTCAGTGAGACTGAGTTAACTAAAGAGGAAAAAGCACCTTAGTTCCCTATATTCTAACAGGAAAAAAAAGAAGAAGAAAGAAACTTGTATGAAACAACATTATGGCTCTGAATATCCACAATTTTCAGATATTCCAAATTAAACTAGTTAGGATATCCATTCCGTTTCCTCAGAATTAGATATTGTAGATGCTAAAATGTACGAAGGGATCAGGAATGGAGCCGTTAAAGCAATTGAAATTGAAACTGTAAAATGATGAGCACAAAACTGGAAGAGATCGTGGTCCAAATATCTCAAAAGTAGTTGAGACTTTTGTTAGTCTCTCGAGTCTCGACCATAACCCTTTGGACTCCGCAGAAGTTGCAATCTGAATAAGCTAAGAGCCAGGCACATGGAAGTTGTGGCTCGTGGCCTAGGGATTCACGTGTCCACTTTTTCGATCATAGCACCTTGAATGGTTAGATAATGCATGTTCGATCATGGAATTTCGGGGTAGTTCGCATAACAGAACACAAAAAAGTATTAGGCTAATACAATGAACAGATAAAAGCATTAGGCTAATACAATGTAAGAGTTTTTCCTTCAGCTTGTTTGGATGGTTGCTACGTATCGTTTCATAATGTATCATATTATATTGTATTGTATCGTTTTGTATTGTATTGTTTGATAAATCTAATATTTGGATAGATTGTGTCGTTTGTCATTGTTTCATGATATCACGCACCAACAATATGAAGAATAAACTTACAATATTATAAAGAAAAATTATGATACAAGGTAAAAATATTATATAAAAAGGTAGGGTAAATGATAAAATAAAATTATTAATAATAATGAAGGGTGAGATTGAGAGAAAGATAAGGTAACGACACGACCACACCAAATCGGTCGTTACATAAAGTGACACATTTCGTCGTTATGTAACGACGGATTTAACGATACGATACAATAAAATTTAAGTAACAATCAAAACAAACATCGTATTTAAAGTAACAATACGATACAATACAATGGGTAAGTTGTCTAACTAAACTCGTGACGGGCACATGCTAATTTTGACTACCGTAGATATTATATATAATTAGTGTTAGAATTCACGCGATACGCGGATGATTTGGCAGAATATTCTTTTTATAAAATTATGATCTAATATATCATATTATTTTAATAAATCTTAGTTGTTATTTTATTATTTAATATAGTGTACAGAAATATAATAAAATCTATACAAAATCAAAGGATACACATCATATAATAATCAAATAAATTGTATGTTCCTTATTTATTCTTTATTATATTAGCAAGTACTTAGTACTATACATTTACTAATTTGACTTTTTATTAACTTGACATTTGGCCTAATATTTGATACTACTTCTCTTTTAATATAACATAGATATATATATTTTCTTACTCTGAAAACATTTTTATTTTTTAAACATATGTTATACTTTTCAAAATGGTCTAAATTATCAATAATTTTTTTGAATGTTATTTATTTATCTTTTATATTTTAATTAATTCAAAATATAAATACCATAAAAATATCTTTATCACCCTCTTTTCGTACATTCGTTTCTACCGTAATATTTGATTAGTTTTCTCATTTGTAGTTTACTAAAAATTTAAATAATGTGATTTTTTTTTTTGCTAAATTATATTTTGAACTCATCAAAAGTATAAAGAGATAAGTCTTTTACTATTTTTAATAAAAACCTACTAATATTTTTAATAATTATTAATTTATGTTATATATATATAATATTGTTTATCTTATGTATAATATCCTAATAGTATTTTTATGTTTTGTATTATGAAATTATGAGTTCTATTTATTAACAACTATTTTCTACACGAGAAATTAAATTAGTATATACATTTTATGCTATCGCTTGAAATTCATTTCTTTTTTGTTCCTTGCTTATCTAATCATATAATCTATCATTTAATATAATTAAATTGTCATATGAATTTTTAATAAATTACCAGTTTAATATAATACAATGAATAACATTTTGGATTAGTCTTGAAATTTAACTTGGCTTTATGACTTTCTCATAATTATTTAGATATTTAAATTTATCAATAAATATTTTTAAATGTCATTACAATTTTTCTAAATGGATGATATTGAATAAGTTCAAAGGTTAAACGGAGAGGGTCTTTTTATATATGCCATAAATCTACTAATAATTATAATTATTATTATTTTTATATTATTTTCAATAAGAAATTAAATTTGATTCTTCTTCCCGTTTGTACTTAATATGAAAGATTAATTTTTTTTATTATTAAAATTGCTACACAAGAAGTTAAATTATATCTTTATATATTCTATTTATTTCTTGAAATTATTGTTTATGTTTTTGTCTTTAGTTTTATCTTTTTCATATAGCATATAGCATGACCATATGAATTATTATTCAAAACTTTCTCATCGCAAAAAATAAATTAGTCTTATTATTTTATATATTTTCTACATTAAAGTTATATATAATATATTTTTTCATTTTTATATAATAGTTTCCTTCAAAATATATAGATATTTATATATTTTAAATTTAAATTCAAAAAGCGTAACTAATTATTAACTAACCTAACTAACTTTGTCCTAAAATTTGACACTCATTGAATTTTTGTTGTGACACTTGGCATCGTCACATTGATTTGCTTCTATATAAGATAGAATCGTGAAAAAAAAAGATACTATTATGTAAGATATAATCGGATGGAAGGTCACGAATATCCAAATTTTCAGACGTTTAATTTCAGAAAAAAGATTGGAACGTGAGAAAAGAGAATAACTACACCTATATTCTTATTGTTAACATGAAGTTAAAGCCTTTAGATTTTATCCAAACGAGTATGCATGCTCTATAGAAAATACGGGCGATAACTTGGAGGAAAAATCACTAGAAGTCACGTCTTGAATCACCCCAAGTAGTTTAGGTTTCAAATAAGATAGGCGTTTGATTCACCAAACTCGCTCAATATTTAAGAACGATCATCAACGAAAAATAAGGGAGTCTAGGCTACTTTTTCTGGACAAGTTTAAGTGCAATTTAAGTATTTTTTTTAAGAAAATAATTATAATTTCTTAATTTTACTTTTAATTGTTTCAGTTCTCTAATCTGAGAGAGAGTCGTCCGTATATGGGAAAATTTTAAATTATCCTCATCCAATATGAATTACAATAATTTTACTCCTTATTAGAGAAGATAAAGAGGCAGATAGAGTCAAACTTGAAGGTAAAATAGGTTAATTCAAAACGGAGCATGACCCAATCTATTCAAAGTTTATTTAGGTCAAAATAATTTAGTTCAAGGTGAGTTAAATGACAAGTCATAATCTAATAAACCACTTACGATAAATGTACCTTTTGAAAGCTTACCTTAGAGAAATATTTGGAAAAAAATGTCAAAACTTATGCATTTTCCTTCAATTATTAGCTTGAATTTTATTTACATTATTTCCAATCGCGATATTTATCTTGTTGAAATTGAGTTGCATTTTAACTCGTTGAATTATACAATTTGAGACAATTGGGATTATTTTATTTGACCAATAATTTGATGAGTTATTTTTGGATCAAATGAAAAAGCACAGTTAATTTTGGCCGAGTTTGACATGTTGCTAATTTAAAAATGGGTGATGATTATACCCCGGTTACCACCTCCATGGGAGCAGAGACCATATGTTTAAAGGACCATATTGTTTATCCATCGCACATGGAACTTCGTCTATGCTTGCGTCGGGTATAGAGTATATTGTGTAACCTCTCATCCGGTGCCACGTATAAGAAGCCAACTGAACCTTCTCGAAAGGCAATACGTATTGCTACGACTTCATTTCAATTTTTTAATTCAACTTTTTCGGAAGCTGTCCGTAACGTAGCTTCTGGTTGTTTCTTTTTCTGTCGCTTTTTTCTTTTTATATTTTCTCCTTATCACCATTTCCTCCTTTCCTGAACTTTCCAACTCTTATCTGTAACAAACACAGTTCCCCCCAACACCTCTATGTGTCGTCGGAACCTTCTAGAATAACCAAAAATCCCAACGGACGTCTTTCCTGCAACTCTCTTGCCTCCCTGCAATTTTGGCTCCAGATCTGCTGCGAGTCGAATCTTCAGTCAAGTATGTAATTTTGGAATATAATTTACCTTTTATTTGATATCTTTGCTCGCAAATAGTCTTGTATTGAATTTAATGATCTTTAGTTAAGGTGAGAAGCGATGACTCCACCGCCGATAGAGCGGAACGGCGGAGAATCAACGGCCGGTGAAACGGCGAGGTCTGTCCCGACGCCGTTTTTAACAAAGACGTACCAGCTCGTCGAGGATCCATCCATCGACGACGTAGTCTCTTGGAACGAAGACGGATCTACCTTTATCGTATGGAATCCGACGGAGTTTGCTAGAGATTTGCTTCCTAAATATTTTAAGCATAACAATTTCTCTAGCTTCGTTCGGCAGCTCAACACCTATGTAAGTTCCTATATCTGAATTTATTAATTAGATTTGCCATGAAATATAGAAAGTCGTTGCTTTTTCGTCGATGATAAATGCTTTGATTCTGTTTTATAGGGATTTCGGAAAGTCGTACCTGATCGATGGGAATTCTCAAACGATTGCTTTCGGAGAGGTGACAAAAGTCTGTTACGCGATATCCAGCGTCGGAAAGTAGTCACGCCGATTGCTACTCCTTGCGCAGCTGTAACAGCGGTCGTTACCGTGGCTGCTCCGCCTGCTCAGCCACCACGGCCTGTAATATCTACCTCGGATTCCGGTGACGAGCAAGTCGTCTCTTCAAATTCATCTACAGGTGGCACAGCGGGGCTGCTGGGAGAAAACGAGCGGTTAAGGAAAGAGAATTTACAGCTCAACAAAGAGCTGAGCCAAATGAGGAGCCTCTGCGGCAATATATACTCTTTGATGTCGAATTACGCAGACCCTTCGACCAGCGGTAATCAGTCGGCGGAAAGCACCTCACCGGCGGCAAAGCCACTTGATCTCTTACCGCCGAAACGGTCTGTTGATGAATCGGATATTAATAAGGCCGTGGGTGATGGGGGGAGCCGGGCTGAACCCGAGGATATTCGGGCGAGATTATTCGGTTTCTCTATAGGTATGAAACGTGCGAGGGAAGGCGATGAAGCAAGGGCGGAGCATGATCAGGAATTACGCCTGCGGCAGCCTGGGAACGACGTGAAATCAGAACCGTTAGATCAGGAAAATGGCGGTGAAAATGAAGAGAGATCGTGGCTGATACATTGCAGGGGACCAATTCAAAGGGCGTGTAACGATAGTGAGGTTGGTGTGAGTAACGTAGACTAGAATAGACGTTAGTGATTAGACGATCTTAAATTAAAAGAGGTCTAAATTACACAGGTGTTAATTGTGAATTGTGACTGCATATGTACGAGGAGGCGCACGTGCTAAATCACGTGATGCCATGTGAGGACTATCTTTAAGAAGCTTCGTTGAGGACCTTTTGATTTCTTTCGCTCTTTACCGTCATTTTCGTTGTTGCCATAAAAAACGACTCCTTTCCCTCTTTCGGGGAGATGATTGACAATTTGTTGAGAAGGTTTTTTGAAAAATTCTATATAAAAAATTGTAAAAAGTGAAGTACGCTTATGTCCTTGATCCTCTTGTTTTTTTTTGAGTTCAAGAAAAAATGTTGCTCAGAATACTTGCTTAGATAATACTTTTTGACAAATGAATTACAGCATACTTCAAAATAGATCACTTCGTTCGTATTTTTATTTTATTTTTTTTTGTAGGAAAACGTCATTGTAAAATGCAAAAGATAAGTTACTGCGTACGCGCTAATACACGGTAATTATATTATCTTCAAGTTTATTTAATATTTTACTTAGTTTAAATATATATTTTCCTTCATTGAATGCGTGTATCTAATATATTCATGTCACAAAATTTCTCGAAAGTCATGTCCATGTGTTTACCCTCAAAATCGGATAACAATTGAATTTATACACCGTTTTAAGAATACATGATATAACTTGATACAAATTAGAGAATGGATTAATATTGAAATTGATGGTAAAAGAATGAATTCAAACCACACAAACTGAATAGCTTTGGCCTTCGAGTTCGATCACCCTCGAACAAAGGAATGCCTCTACTGATGTAAGAACATAATAACAAGATGATCAGAGCTAGAAATTACATATATTGCTTTGTATTGCGTATTTCAATGTCTGTTACAAATGATTAGAAACCCCCCCCCCCCC